CATTTGGATCTCCTAAGGTTTCACTGAGAAAAAAGAAGAAAAAGAAATGGGTTAAGATCGGTTTTACGGATGTAGTGGAGATGAGAGAGCATTATAGAGTTCACAGATATTTTACCCCTTTATTTAATCTTTGTAGTGTAATGTGGGATCCATTTGACCAGCTTTTGGCGTCTTTGATTTGCAAAAATATAACATGACATAAAGTCCTGTCCATAATAGCATCCTTTTTAAGTTGTATCATCAATATTATTAGAAAAGATTTAAAAAATGCAACGTGGATTGAGTTAATAGTTTTATTTAACGGAAGGATTAAAATTGTGTAGGTTTTAAAATTGAGAGATAAAAAAAAAATTGAAAGACTAAAATTATGCAATATTATAAAGTTGAGGGACTCAAAATTAATATTTAACTTTATTTATTTAAAAAAAATATTAATTAAAAATATAATATTTTGAAAGATATTTTATAAAACTTTTTTCTCATGTCAACCACTTTAGTGCTAATTTCTTTTTTTAATAGAAGGAAGAAAAAGTATGCTGAGTTAAAAGATCAACAAGGATTGTCGTTCACGCAACCTAAAAATAAAAAATCCACATGTATATAAAAAAATAAATGTGTGGTACTGGAATAAAAAGGAAAAAAAAATTATGAGTTAGGCTTAAGCCTTAGGTATGGGCCTAATGGTTTCTATTGGGTTCGCTTTTGGCATATCATGAGCTTATTATTATTGGCCCATTCTTGTTTTGAACTTTGCAGGTCACCGTTATTACTCTGGCAATTATTTTGTTGACTATTGGATCCGAGAGAATGACTCGGATCCGAAATTCGGTTATACCCGATTTCACTCGATCCTTCTTGGTGGGAAGCGAGTCGGGCTTCCTCGGCGGGTCCGGGCAGACTTGTAGCACGTGCGAGAGTTTGCGCTTGCGTGGGAGTCCTCAACGGAGCTGCCTGTCATTCATCAAGGCTGTCTTGTCAATGCGAGTCCAAAGAAACTCCAATTGATCATTAAAATTTAGGTTAAAACTTTTTTTTGGTCCCTGAACTATTGTACGGACCTCCGATTTGGTCCTTAAACTAAAAAAATCCCTGATTTAGTCCCTACTATTTACCATTTTTACCCCGATTTGATCCTTCCGTTAAAATCTCACCGTTATTTCACGAAAATTTAATGACATATCAAACATTTGAAACACGTCAGTTATATAAATGAATAAATAATAATATGGCAACGTGACATGTCATATCTTTGCCCAACCCAACAAAAGGGGGGCCCACCAAAATTACGAATTTGCCATCATCTTCTTCCTCGAGCAAACAAACCCAGCACCTGGGTTGAATCGAACCCAACAACGCTCTTTTTTTTTTCCTTCCTCTTCCTTGCCTTGCTTTCTTCATCATCATCAAACACCAAACCCACAAAAGACACAGAAAAAATATATATGTTTTTTACCCTCGAACCTAGGCGTGCTGGGTTCTTCGAACCCACGCTTGGGTTCCATTGAACCCATGCCTGGGTTCGACGGAACCCAGGGTCGAGTTCCATGGAACCCAGCTGGTTCGAAGAACCCAGGCGTGCTGGGTTCTTCGAACCCACGCTTGGGTTCCATTGAACCCATGCCTGGGTTCGACGGAACCCAGGGTCGGGTTCCATGGAACCCAGCTAGTTCGAAGAACCCAGGCGTGCTGGGTTTCGTTGAACCCATGCCTGGGTTCGACGGAACCCAAGGTCGGGTTCCATGAAACCCAGCTGGTTCAAAGAACCCAGGTGTGGATTCGAGGGAACCCAACGCTTGGGTTCCTTCGAACCCAGCGCCTGGTTCCTTCGAACCCAACCCAAGGAACCCAGTACCTGGGTGGGTTCGAAGGAACCCAGGCCTGCTGGGTTCTGAGGGGAAAGAGAAGGGAAAGGGGAAGGGGAAAGGGAAAG